TGTCATCTTCTAGCCTTTGTATTGTTACAGCTCGTTTCCTTGTTATTTTTAAATAGTTTTTCCCTTTCATACTCCCACATTGCAAAATTGTCCTCCAGTTTGGATAATCTATCCTTAGTTTCTTTCAAGCAGATTTTCCATCTTTCCATAGAGTTTTTAATTTCCTGGTGATCTCTTGGACCTGTTTCATGTATTCTATATTTTGTTATATTCTGCACCAAATGGTTCTCTCCTGTGTTTGAGTTCCTCCCTTTTTCCATCTGTGTCTGCTTGAGGGGTACTTAGTATCTCTTTTATTAATCTTTGTATATCTTGCTTTATTTGGCTAAATATTTCACTTTTGAACTCGTGTATGAGGTCCCAAAAATATTTCTTTATGTCCACAGGCACTGTGCGTGATATTGCACGTTTGCTGTTCTCATTCTCCTTTGTATTTACCTGTCCTAAGTCAATGTACTCAGGTTGGGACCTTGGGACTTTTTGATGTTTCTTCTTATTCCCATTTTTTTTTTTTGCTTCTTCCAGAAGACCCCAGTTTCTTTCTTTGTTGGTTATAATTCTTCTGATGTGGGCTGGCTACATGACCCTTACCACTGCAGTGTGCTAGTGAGTTGCAGACAGGGACAGTGTATGCTGGCCCCTCTCATCCAGATCAGTCAAGCTACTGTGGCCTGCACTACTATATTACTTTGCACCATCTCCCCTCTGGACAGCCAAACCTCCGAGGCCCACTGGGCCAGTGTGGTTAGTGTGCACCACCATTGTAGGGACTTGACCTCAGATAACCTATTGGGTCTCAGCGAGGCTCGTGACCCAGGCCTCGGTCACTCCACCAATCCTGTTTGGGAAGGGAACAATTGACTGAGGTCACTGTTAACCCTTGTACTTGCCAGTCCTGCCGAGTCCTAAAATGTTTTCCACTGGAAACCCATTCTCTGCGGAATGACTCCACTCCTGTCACTCACCACAGGCCGATGTAGGCTCCCAGGCAACTCAGCCCTGAGTTCAGCTTACTGACCCTCGAACTCAATGTAACTGTGCCCCAGTGAATCAAAGTGTTGGGACTTCAGAGAGCTCGGCAATTTGTGGTGGGACCTGGCAAGTCACGGTGGGATCCCAACAAGTAGTGGCAGGACCATGGCAAGTTACGGTGGAACCCTGGAATGTCATGGCATCTGCCAGACACAGCGGGACGTCAGATGGTCAGCAAGTCACCTTAATTTCTTCTTGGGATGAGAGAATTCATCTGACCTCTGTATGGGGCTCCCCACTCTGTATTATCTTCAATTCTAAGTTGACTATCTCAGGGAGCCTCTGTAGCCAGCTGTTATCTATCCGTCATTTTTGCTCCAATTGGCAAAGGATATCATTTCTTATGCCCGATTTTAAGGTAAAAGCTTTCAGTTTTGGGCCATTTAATATGATCCTGGCTGAAACATGTTCAATGGATGAATGACTGTCTATTTAATAAATGGTGCTGGAAAAACTCACTCTCCATATGTCAAAAACTAAAAGTAGACCATTGCCTATCACCATGTACTAAATTAAAATCAAATGGATCAAAGATCTGAATTTTAAAACAGAAACACTAAATCTATTAGAAGACAAACTAGGTAAAAACCTTGAAGACATAGGGGTAGATAGACAATTCATGAACCAGAATCAAACCACACAGGGATTAATTCCCAGAATCAATAACGGGGATCATGTCTTATTAAAAAGTCTTTGCACATCGAAAGAAATCTCCAGCATAGTGAAAAGAAAACCCTCAAATTGGGAAAAAAACCTTAGTGAACTGTCCCTTAGATAAAGAATTTCTGTCTAAAACATATAAAGAATTTTTAAAATATCAGACCCTCAAAATTCAAAGAACCAATTCAAAAATGGGCATCTGACACGAATACACAGTTCACAGATGAAGAAATACAAATGGAAAATAAGTACATGAAAAAATATTCATCATCATTACTCATTAGAGAAATGCAAATTAAAGCCACACTGAAATTTAATCTCACTCCTGAAAGAATGGTCAGGATCAAGAAAACTACCAACAACAAATGCTGGAGAGGCTGTGGGGAAAAAGGAACTCTTCTGTACTATTGGTGGAAGTGTAGACTGATGCAGCCATTGTGGAGATCAGTCTGGAGATTTCTCAAAAAGCTAGGATTGGAAGTCCCATTTGTTCTAGCTACCCCACTTCTAGGCATATTCCCAGAAGAACTGAAAACATCATACCACAGTGATATAAGTGCACCCATGTTTAAAGCAGCAAAATTTATAAAAGCCACATCTTGGAAACAACCTAAGTGTCCATCAACTGAGGAATGGATAAAAAAATTGTCATATTTTTATACAATGGGGTACCACTCAGCTATAAAAATTATCATATTGATATTTTTATAAATAAATGGACACAACCTGAGACCATACTCATAAGCAAAATAAATCAGACTCACATGTATAAATACTGTGTAGTCACCATAGTGTAAGAAATGGTAAGAACACATAAAAGTATGTGGTAATTATGATTCTCCATTATATGGCTTTGAAACCTTATAATGTTTTCATTCATTAGTTGGAATGGTTTTATTCTGGGTTGTTTGATTTTATTGTCTGTGATGGTATGAACTGCCATTTTGAAGAAAACAAGACATTATAATAGGTAGTGATGATTTAATATCCCATCTTGTTTTGAAAGCCTACAATACTTTTCTTCTATCTCCATTGGTTTTATCATGTTGTATCTTATTGGATTTTATTATATGTGATAGCACAAACAAAAATTTTATGAACAAGGAGATAATACAGTATCCATTCTTCATTTTCTGTTAGTTGGTTCTGAATTCCCTGTAATACTTTCATTCTCTTGAATGGTTTTATACTATTTTGTTACATTTGATACTATAGTATATGAATGTGTACTCAAATATTTCAAGGAAAGAGACACTATGGTGGCTACTGTTATGCTGCATTACCTTGTGGTGAAATACTATATTGCTTAAATTATTCTCTTCTAATATTATGTCCTCTATTATGTCCTCTTTATTATGTCCTCTTTTATCTTAATCTTTTTAAAATAAAAAAAAGAAAAAGTATGATGCTGACTGTTGGTTTGTCATAGATGGCCTTTATCATATTGAGGTAAAGACCATCTTTTCCAATTCTCTGTAAGATTCTTATCATGAATGAGTGTTGGATATCATCAAAGGTTTTTCTGCATCTGTAGAAATGATCATGTGATTCTTATTTCTGCTTCTATTGATATGGTGGGTTGCATTGGTTGATTTACATATGTTGAACCATTCCTGCAGGCCTGGGATGAATCCTGATTGATAATGGTATATAATTCTCTTACACCCAGACATACTTTTGAGTTTTATAAGTCTTCATTTAACACAACCTCAGCTTTAAAGAAACTTTTAAACCTTTTTATCTTTATTTACAAACTATTTCAGAGATTTAGATGTCTGCATTCCAGCTAGGACTGGTTAAAACAACCATCCTCCAAGAAAACTTGAATAATTTGTTACCTTACTACAGGCAACAGAAAACAACAAAATCCATAGAAAGCCAAAAGATCCCAAACAAGTAAAACAAAACAAATGTTCTAATTTAAGCACTTCTTTTGAGAAGGTTCTATTAAGTTCATTTCCCAGTGTGTATTGTATTCTTTGTTTTATAGAGTTTTGCTGATTTCTTTATATGTATAGATATTACTCCTCTGTCAGAAGAGTAGCCATCAAAGATGTTCTGTCAATTTCCTCTTCATCCTGGCAGTTGTTTCTTTGCCAAACACAATCTTTTAATTTGATATATGTGGGAAGCCCTGTAATTGGCTGCCACCATATGTCTGCAGGCCGCACCACCTTAATTGCCTCTAGGAGTTAAGTTTGGTAATTAAGCAGCACCTTGTATAACTTGTTTAGCCTTGCCCCATTATTCAGGGATTATACTTATGAGCCCGTGTGCCAGAAATTTGAATTGACCTATAGCCCTCAGTCTTGCCACTGTTGCTAAGTTACCTGCTAATGTCTCAGAACCCAAATCCCTCCTCCCCAGGAACCTATATATTTGATACTCATTCCTTGAATAAATAAGACTTGATTGGACTTCGTCATCTTGTCTCCATCCTTTGTATCTCTTGTTTGCTTTTCATTCCCACCCCTTCTAGGGGCTCTGTGGACTTATCCACAGGCTGGGTCAGATATAGCCCCATTTTTATTTTATACATTGTTGTCTATGCTTTTGGAATATTGAGGAAGTCTCTGTGTTTAGCTATGGCTTAAAATGTTTCCTTTGGGTGTCTTCCACCCAGTATAGCTGTTTCTAGTTTTATATATAGATCTTAGCTCCATATACATTGATTTTAGTGCAGAATTAGATATAGGAATAAATTTCAGTTCTTTTTTTTTTTTTTTTTTTGGCTTGTGGCTCTTCAGTTTTCCTGGAACAACTTGTGAAAGAGATGGTCTTTTTCCACAAACATTTTAGTTTGTCGGCAATCAAATGGCTGTGTGTCTTTGAGTTTGTTCCTTTGTATTTTCTTGTGTTCAACTCTTCTACATGTGTATTTTTACATCGTTACCATGCTGATTTTCTACTATAGCTGGAGAGCAGAGCTTAGAGGCTGGTATTGTGTTATTGCCAGCATTGCTCATTTTGTTCTGGATTTCATTGACTCTCTTACATATTTTCTAATTCTAAATAAATATTAGATATATTGTTTCTAGGTCTCTCAATACTCTTCTATTTTTATATATGTGCATTACTCAGTGGCACTACAATGGGACTTTGGATGTCCAGATTATGAAGTGATAAATTTGTAATTTTAAGAAAATAAACTTGCAGTAATTTGTCACAGTAGCATACCTGAAAAAATCAGTACAGTGAGATTTAACTATGCATATAATGTGAGCATATAGGTGCTTAAAGCAATGTATCATTTCTTATTAAGTTACATGTTATTGTGCATTGGAAGTTTATTAACTACCATTTCATAGGCTGACAGAAAAAACCTCATCCTGACCATCTATCTCTAAGAGGGAAACTGATCCATCAGTTAATGCAGTCAGATGCATATCCCAATGAGTACACTCGCACCTCTGCCTGGAACGCAGTGGTCTAAAGGAACCTGATGAGTTGGCCCTATGCTACGTGTACAATGTGATCAAAATGTGAAGAGTAACAAATATTTGGTGGAGCATGAGATTGACATGAGACTTGCAAGTAAGTCCATTCAAATTCATACTCTATCATAGTTCTCAACCCCTGTTGGCTTCAGTTTCTTCATAAAGGGCAGTTCATGTAAGAGTGAAATGAGATTACAAATGCAATGTGCTGAGCTCCAGTATGCACTCATAGTGTGCAATCAGTCACTGTAATTTTATACTGACTAACTTTAGCAAACACACAGGAACCGTCAGGAAGAGTGATAACTATTCTGTGTTTCTAAACCAACAGCCACAGAAGAGATACTATGGGAGATTCAGACTGAGAACATAGTGTTGGTAAGTACAGGAGAGATAGCCACTCTGAACTACACTGTGACCACTGTTATGTGTGGGGCCCATCTTGTGGTTCAGGAGAAAAGGACAAGGCTGGAAATTAAACTACAATTTTAGAGGAGGCCACTTCCCACAAGTCACAAGAGTGTCAGATATCATGAAGAGAAGGGACTTTTCAATCCACATCAGTAATATCACCCCTACAGATGCAGGCATGTACTACTGTGCCATGTTCCAGAAGACAGGAGGCACTGAGGAGAAGCAGATTCTGTCTGGAGGAGGCACCAAGCTGTTTTTATGTGGTGAGTACATTTTGGGCTTCCCTCATTTCTTGATGTATGATATTAGGTCAGGAATCACATCCTGTGTTTTGTGAGCACCAGTGAAGAAGCAGGTAGGATGGTGGGTGCTTATGTTCATGATTTAATGTCACTCTTCTATCAGGGCAGCCAGGGCCCTTAGTGTGTTATTGGCTCAAGACTCTATACCAAGTAAATGGGGAGGATATGCAGCCATTGTCTAACTAGTGTACTATTTTCTATGTTTATACTCTGTCCCTACCTATGTCTCCACAGAAGATGAACAGCCCGACCATGGCCAGATCTCACCAATTCATTCATATCGAGCTTTCTCTCTGAGTATGGATCTTTTCTTATGCCACAGAACTGAGGGCCTATTTTGTCCCAGGATCCTTTCTGCAGGCCAGAGAAACAGAAGGGAGATGCCCAGGCTGAGCTCATCACCTACCAAGTTGTCATTCCCCTGCAGAAGTGGGAGGCTGCAGTTATATTCATTTCCTCTAAACAAAAAGAATGAGAATATTCCCCACTGTCAGAGGCTCCTTTTTGATTTCAATGCCATGGTTGGAGAAATGCCAAGATGTTGAACCATTTCCTAGTCCTATGTATGAAAACTTATTGAATCAGCAACAGCCTCTCACAGGTACTGAGAACTCTGAGACCACTTGGGTATTCTATTCAGGAAAAGATATTCCATGTGAGAGATATAAGAAACCCCGGTGAGACAGCTAACATGCTCACTTTGTGTTTCCTGCTCATGGGTAATATCTTCTTTCTATTGTCTAATTCTGGGACAAGTGACCTTCAGACCATCCAGCTGATCTGCTTACAAATGTGAGTCTGAGGATGAGAAATAGCCGATTAGTATCAGGATAAGGAGAAGAACCCACCTCTCAGTTCAGCAATGCAAAAAGCAACCCCAGCATAGAAACTGTGTCCATGGAGGGATCAGGAGGTGCACACTGCAGGCACAGAGCCACAGATCAGAGACCCAGCATTCTGCATTTCATCTATTTCCCCGCAGTTCAGGAAGCCCCTGACATTCACACCTAAAGATTGTTTGTGATTGGAAAACCTCTCACAAATCACAGTTGCATCATAATTTCATATTAGGCCTTTCCCAAGCATCAGACCCATTTCCATCACTCACCAGGATATTTCCTGTGAACATTTTATTAGGTTAGCTTATCCATTCCAGAAGTCAATTCTGATTTGTTAATCAATTTGCCTTTGCTTTAAAAACACAACTGAGAAATTCAACTTAAAATGAGAGTTATTTATTTTGACTCATCATTTCAGAGTATTGAGGCCATGGTGAGCTGGCTTCACTGCTTCTGGGCCTGCAGAGAAGCAGCAGGTCATGAAAGAGAGTGTGCCAGGCCAACACAACTTGCCTCATATCTGCCAGAATCAGAGGGGAGAAGGTTGGAAAAAATGTTCACTTCAAGGTCTTGCAACCAGTGACCTAGTGCTCTAATTAGGGCCCATCTCCTAAAGTTTCCATCATATCCAAATAGTACCACCACCCTTGGCTTAGAAGCTTTCAGGGAACGTTCCACATCCAAACTCACTTTCTAAGAATACCAGATTGTCAAAGTCACCTCTGACATAAAGCAAGGTGTTATTACAACTACCTCATCATGAATCCATGCGATTCTTATGTACATTACCATGGTTTGCATACCTATGACCCTTAAGTTGATACTGTTTTGGTTTAAAATCATAATCTTGGATCTTATACTAAATAAAAGTGATTAGCTTCTCTGTGTTTGGATTCCAATAACCTAAGGATCCATTATAAATTCTCTAGGCCTCAATTTCCACATCAGAATGGAAATAATATTTTCTGTACCACAGGACTGTGTTGATCAAGTATGTAAGCAGGTGCCACACAAGGCAATGTGTTTATAGGTACACATTCTTCATTCTTTCACTGGAGTAGCACAAATTCCTAGTCTGAGGCTAAGGTGACTGTGAATGAGACACCTCATTATCCGTGCTTAGATACTAGCCAGAAGCCAGTAGATGTAAGACATGATGCAGTTTCAAAGTTTCAGACTTTTAATGGGTTCAGATAGCCATATATAGTACAAATTAAGGTCATAAAAAGTAACCCTCCTCTAATGGTTCTATTCTTTTTGACTTCTAGAAATGAAGCAGTCTTCTACTTCTACCCTCCTCACAGCTCTGCTTTTCAGCACAGAGGTGCTACAGGCCATCATTTTCTCTGCTACCTACATCCTCTGGAAACTGAAGGCCTAAGTGTAAGTGTAGGATGAGAGGGAATAAGAAGGACTCACAGAAAAGGGCAGGGTGATTCAGGGGCCAGATTACTTGTCACATAGAATCAGGATCAAGGAAGTCTAGAGCAAATGGCACTCAGCATCCCAGGGTTCTCAAAGACCCTTCTGAAAGGTGCCCAGCTCTGGAAGTGTGTAGAGTGTTTTAGGAAAAGCGTAGGGGAAGGATTTGCAAAAGTGGTGGACAGAGCCTTAAAGATCCCATTGTACAACTGAACTGAGGAGAAGACTGAGGAGCAACAGAGTGGCTTGCTTGGAAGTCATCTCTGTATTAGTTAAAAACTGCTCCAAGGGACAAGAACCATCTGTATTTTGAAGCAGTATTGTGAATCTCCACACAGACAGTTCACCTCTGAGCTCATTCCCACTCTGCTCCTCTGTGTGACTCAGCAGAAAAAACAGAGAAGGGGTGTCAGAACTCAGTGTGGATGCTGAGGAAGAAATTCTTTCTCAGGTGCTGCCTGTCAACTTACAACAGATGTCCCCATGAGAAGAGCAGCTTCTGTATTATGACCGTAGGAGGAGACATTTCTTGCACGAGGAGCATATAACCCAAAGTGACATGTTTCCCCACTACCTCAACTTCCTCACTCAACTTCCTTCCTGTGGAGGACCCTCAATCTCTGCTACTTTCTTCCTGCTCTGAGAAGATTGATCTGGAAGAAAATGTGATAAGAAGTTACCTTAGACTGTGTTACAAACATCTCTCTACTTCAGACAACTGTTGGCCCATAAACCCTTGTTGTTGCTTTACACAGTCATTGATGTCCTTAGAACTGATCTGCACCCATGATCCTGAGCAAGAACCACGGGAGCTGGCTGTAGGATCTAACTCAGATATTTTACTGGAAAATGTGCAACAATGTAAACAATTACGTTTTAGACATAGAACACACCTCCCCCTAAATTCACATATATTCAGAGACAGTATTTTAGAAAGTGACTGAGTCATATGCACATGATTCTTATGAGTGGATTAAATCATGAATGAAATCCTGACTGATGTGCTGTTAAAATGTGAAAGCATTGCAGATGTGGGTTACTAGAGCCATGACCTGGACACTGGGCTCTTTCACTCTGATTTTTCTGTCTTTGATTCAGCCAACAGTGGACTAAACTGTTAGCCCTAATTAATATATTTGTAAGTACTGGTTATTTTTTTCCCAGCAACACCAAAGTGTCTTAATACAGACAATTAGTCCCAAGGGTGGACTTGTTACTGTAACTGTCTCTGACCACATAGCTTAAAAGGCTTTGAAACTGATTTGATGGAGGAATTTAGAAAACCGTGAAGATGCCAACTATAAAATTCTTAGAAAGTTGAAAGCTAGTTTTCATGGTGATTCTGGCTGGAACTCAGAATATGAGAATACTGCAAGAAGAATGAATGATAAAAGGCAAGTTTAAGAGGTTTCAGTTTCCAAACTCCATTGAGAAGTAGACTAGAAGCCATGTGGGTTACACTCTGGCAGAAAATGTGTTTGTTTTGCCTATGTTCTAGACTTTGCAAGAAGTTGATATTAAGTGCAGTGCACAGTTTATCTGATTTAAGAAGATTCAATGCAGCCCAATATTTAGACTTTGGCAAGGATGATGCCAGCTGCTTTTAGCCAGACTTCCAAGGAAAAGGAGGATTAAAGAGCAGGGATGATTGAGTTGAAAAATTTGCATCTTGGTTAAAAAAAATGTGTAAATTTGGTGCCAAAAAGATATTAAAAGAAGCCAAGTATTTTGCATCCAGACAATAAGAATAGATAGATCACTTGAAGGAATTTCAGGAAATGGCCAAATCCCACTCATTGTAATTTCAGGGGTGTTAAAAACTGCAATCTCCTTTGAAAGTCTGTGCTTTGATAAAAGATCATCACAGCATCCTACTCATTTTCAGCAACACAGAGAAATATTTCCCCAAGTTCAGTCACACAATTTGGCCATCCATCACTCAGATGATACAGCCATTCTCTGTGGGCTCCCAGCTATTACTTCATCTGGCAGCAGACCTTTACACTGTCCACATGGTGTTGGTTATGCAGGCGTGTAGAGTGCAACTTTTGTGGAGTTCTGGAGGCTCCCACCAGGATTTCAGAAGAAAGCCTGGATGGTCGAAGGAGCCCTTAATAGGATAGTGCAGAAAGTTGTGAGTCACACTGAAGTTGCATGGAAAGCCAGGAAATTGATGCCAGAAATGTGGACTGCTTGCTCGGATAAACCATAGGCACTGTGCAGAGCCTGCCTAAGAGAAAAGTCATGTGAACTCAACCAGCAAATCCAGAGGGGATCAGATTTCGCAAACCCTTTGGAACACATCACTCACAACAACCTGACCTGGTTGCTCAAGTTAGAACTGCAGTATTTAATGTTTTAGTCTTGTTTTATACACTTCTTCCTATTCTCCTATTTTTCTGTTTTGGAAAGAGAGCATTTACCCAGTTCTGTTGTGTGTTGGGAATCTTTGACATTCTTTTTGATTTTCATGGGAGCTCACCGATAATGAGTTTGCTTTTAATCTCAGAGGAGACTTTGGAATTGGACTTTTGAGCAATGTTAGAACTAAGAATTTGACAACTCTTGGCCTGGAGTTCATCTCAACAATGTAAGTGTCTGCTGAACTGAGGTGGTAAGTTTGATCCATGGTACGAAAGAAAAAAAGAAAGAAAGAAAGAAAGAAAGAAAGAAAGAAAGAAAGAAAGAAAGAAAGAAAGAAAAAAGAAACAACAACAACAAAAAGCCTTGGGAAAATCTTAGGGTCTGAATGTATTTTGTGTAATAAAATGGACATGAACCTTATGAGTGACCAGGGACAAAATGTTATTGCTTATATCTAAAATATTCCCCAGAAAATTCATCAGATTTCTCAGGTGTTCAGAAGTGTAGCTTTTTTAATTTGGTTGGATCATGAGAGCATTATTTTATCGCTATATTAATCTACTGATGTGTTCATTGCTGGATATGTAATAGAGGTGTGGCCTAGTTGGAGTTATGCGACAAGAGGCATTATCTATAAGGGTGTATTCTTGTCTCAGGCTTCTCCTTTCCCTCTGTGTTCCTGGCTGCCATGGATAAGCAGATTTCAATAAGTATACCCTTTTGCTATGCCATTTCTGCCTTGAATCTAACCAACCATGGAATGAACCCTCTGAAATCATGAACCAAATAAACCTCCTGTCCTTTAAATTCTAAGTGTTGAATGTTTAGTTTTAGCAATGTGAAAATGATTAATACATGAACCCACTAGGATAAGTTTCAGCTATTGCTATGGAGGTGGTCATCTCATTACCACACACCACATTCTCAAGAATTATTCAGTTTTCTAAGTTACTTTCCAACCCCGTTCCCCAGAACAATTGTGGTCCTCACAGTGGGGATGGTTATAGCTCGCTTCCAGGTAGCTCAGGTCTTTGTCTTGAGCTTTGCTTCCTGACTCCAGTTCAGAGTGCTTATCCTTGAGACACAGATCTTAAACCCCACCAACATAGCCATTTGGCATCCACCAATGAATGTTGGGCCTTCCCACTGCAGATTTTTGATTTGTACTTGCATAGACATGGCCATAGGCATTAGGCCTTTGGTTGGACTCATGCTGGACACTGGTGTGGGATCCATGGCTTTGGCTGGATTTCTCAGATCTCTACCCCACAGTGAGAGCTCTTGAACTCTTCTGTATTTGACTTTTTGTGTTAATACTGTAAAATAATCCTATAAATCATGTGTTTTCTATTAAATATATTCCCTTATAAACCTGACTATAGCACATATTTTGAAAATAAGTGTTGATTGCATTGCTCCTGTTTCCTTCTAACATATCAGCATGTTAACTTTCTCCCTTCATTCCTCTTTCTATTCAATGTCTATTTTTAAAACATACTGTCTTTAAATTTTAATGAAAAATTATTAAAAACTTAAATTATCCTTCTCACCATGTTAGTATTTCAGTTACTCATTATCTGAGTAAATTTTTTAGCATATCACTAACTTTCATCTATATTATACTTGGTCCAGGAAGTGCTTTCTCTTCATAACAGGAGAATCATCACAGTACTGTAAAAATCAGTGTGAAAACTGAAACCCTTGGAAAAAATCTTCAAAGTCATTGGCAAAATCGTGATCTTTTTCATGTCTTATTTTCTTGTCAAAATTGTAGTTTACAAATTTCTGTAGTCAAGTTGGAGGTGATATTATCTGTCTTTTTTCATCCAAATCACTTAATATATCTTCAATATAGAGACCATAAAATTGATTTGTGTGTGTAGTGTTAGAGAGAAAAGTCATCAATCTCCATAAAATTTTCAGCTTCAGCAAACAAAATAAAATATTGCTATCAAGTGAATCAGAAAAATCTGCACATGAGTACCTTTGGATGTGGGGATAAGAGTTTTTTTTTTAACATGCTAAGCTTTAGATGACTTTTCAATATCTAAATGGTGATACTAAGTAAATACAAATCTGAAGTTTGGAAAATAGTTCTGGGTTGAGATGTCAAAGGAGATTCTCTACTGTGTCATACTCACTTCATTATGGTCACCAAATGTGAGGCAGGCAGGAACATCCTTGCATAGAATTGGAGAGATGGACCCCACTTGCCGCCTCTCCCACCTGAGAAGTGCACCACACCTGCAGGCCAGAAGGAGGGAGCTGGGCCGAGCTGCTGGAACCTGCTGGAACCTGCTCATCTGCGACCTTCTTTTGACCTGGAGAGCACCAGCACTACTGCCACTGCCTGGAGGAGGGAGCAGCCCTGCTGAGGAGGTTTGATGCCTACCTAGGCCATAGGGGAACCCTCTATCAGCCTGGGGAGCTTTGCCATCCAAGGAGCTGGATGACTACACAACATCCAATCCCTGGGAGAGTATGAGATCCTGGCTTTAGGGGGTTAGAGGTCTACTGGGCTTGCAGCCACACTAGATTGGGCTTAGCAGGATTTGGGATTGCCTGGACCACACCAGGTGGCCTTCTTCCCCTCAGGGGAGCTTTGCTACCTCAAACTTTGCAGGTTGAGAAGGCTTTAGGTCTACCTGAGAGGAGCCTGGCAATCCTCTTTTATCCAGGGGCTCCGCTGCCCAAGGAGGGAGTTACACTACCAGAGGAGTCCCAAGAGCCCAGGTCATAAGAGACAGTTTCCAGCACGCCCAGGGGAAACTCTGGAACAACACTTGAAACACGGAAATATAGGAAAAGGACAAAATGAAAGACTAAAATGCAATCTCAAACATCCAGCCCAACCCAAGAAAGCCTAAGAGCCATGTACATAGAAGAAAATACATGCCATATACCTGAAATACCTGAAGCAATAGTAACCGAAATAAAGAAGCAACTCCAGGAAGCTTTAAATGAATTCAAACTACAAATAATCTCTCAGATTCTCAAGATAGAACCCCTGAATGAACAATATAAGAAACAAACAGAATATATAAAACAGATGCAAAGAGATATACAGGAAATTCCACTGAAAGTTGTAAAAACCGCCTCAGTGAATGCAAAGATAGAATTTTGGACCTTGAAGACAATATTGCAGAGAACAGGAAAGGAAAGATTTTTTTAAAATAACAAGAAATCAAGAAATAACAATTCAACACCTGCAAGATGATGCAAAGAAAAACAACATAAGGTTGATAGGGATAAATGAAAAAGAAGGAGGCAACATAAAGGATGTCAAGAGGATATTTAGAGAAGTAATAGCTGAAAATTTCCCAAACGTGAAATTGGAAACTGATATCAGGATCAATGAAGCACATAGAACTCCAAATAGCCATAGCCAAAATAAAACTGTACCCAGACATATAATAGTCACCATCCCAGAAATTGAACAAAAGAATAGAATATTAAAAGCTGTCAGAGAGAAAAGACAGATCACCTATAAAGTATAACCTATTAGAATCACAGCAGACTACTCAACACAAACAATAAAGGCAAGAAGAGCATTGAGTGAAGTATTTAAGATCCTAAAGGAAAATGATTTCCAACCTAGACTGATGTACCTGCAAAACTGTCCTTCAAAGTCAATGGAGAATAAGATACTTCCACGACAAAGAACAGCCGAAGAATTTCATGATCACCAATTTCATGATACTGAAAGACAGTTTAGATACACTTAGGAAAAAATCACTTAAACAAAGCAGACAATTAAACAGAACAGAAAGATAAAGATGCAACAGCAGAAATATAACATGTCAAAAATAAACCAACATATAACAGTTATAACCATTAATATAAATGGTCTCAATGCAACAATTAAATGAGACAGACTGGCAGAATGGAACAAAATCCAAGGCCACTAGACATACAATGCCCCCTCCAGCCAATATGAAGGCCAAGTGGGAGAGGCAGGAGCCCCTTCTCTGTCTCCTAAGGAAGATGAACAGATGGAAATCATGTATGAAAGACAGATTTATTAAAGTATCAACAGGAAAGGATATGGTTAGTTGAGAACTACCAGCAGAAAATGATAAACTCCACTGGAAACAATATGGACAGGAAAACTACCACACTATACTGGGAATGTTCAATGGCCACAGGCCAGAAAAAAGTTCTTAAAAATATCTAGTGGTAGTGGATCAAACTGGGAAATCACCAGAGATAACTCAAAGTGTCCAGTGGTGGCCAACCAGACTCCTCCACTCCACAGTGCTCTGTTCCATATCCAGCTATTGAGGGGAGGAGGTTTTATAGAAAAAGCTACACTGAAGTGATAATATTAGCTTTCTTTATGTCATAGTATCCGCAGCATTCCAAGAAAGGGATAATCTATCATATGAGCAGGAAGTCATGTTTTATAGCTGAAACTATTTTGTCCAGTCCCCAGTGTCTGTGTGGTAACTGCATCCAGATATTCTAGTCACTATTTGCATAAAATGTACCTTTAATTTGGCAAGCATCTTTGAAACACAGAAGAGGCCCTTTAGGGACATAATACCAAATTTTGCAGGTTTTCTCAAGGGTGAGGCAACCACTTTTTCATGGTCTATAATCCTTTCAAAATGCCACTGAATTCTATTTTGATAATATATGATTGGTGATTAAACAATGTGGTTTGGGAATGGAAAGTAGAGAAAGCCCATGGAGCTACATGGTGTGCAATGATCAACAGCACCATTCCAACAGGCCCTAAATTCCCATTATTGTTGACATATAATCTTTGGAGGATCTTCATATATACAATAGTCCTGGCGGAGATGAAACTCCTCTGAAACCCTGGCATCATACAAGAGTCTTTAGATGGGAAGCTGTCTCTTCATGCAAAAGGAAAATCCTAGAAGGTGTAAATTTGACTCCATCCTGTCTTAATGATACCCCAGTAGCCAATATCTGAGTTTATGGACTAAATCAGGATGTTTCCAGTTTGAGAATTTGAAACACATACTTCTTAGCCTGTGGCTCCCAAATGGGGAATCAACCACATTTCAAGAAGGCAGGAAAGGTCATGTGGAGCCAGAGCAGCTGCAAGGCAGTGAGAAAGCATTGTTTCTGGTAGACTTGTCCAGAACTCTATCAATTTCACTCTGAAGAACTTCCTGCCTTACAGCTGCCTGTGTGGCCTAATTTCAATTTTGCAATCTTGAAGCAGGTTTCTGTCTCATTACAACGGAGCCACTTCTTCTTTCAGGGAGGGGGCCAGGGTGACTAATTTCCAAGAGCTCAGACTGACATTTTCCTGACACAGACACTTGAAGAGAAACCTTCTTGAGCCTCCAAGATGCCTGTCTCTGCCTCCCAGCTCCAGCCTTCTTGTCTTGTCCTGTTACTGACTTTTCTGCTCAGACTCACAGGTGAGCATAGCCCTGGGGTAGAATCCTCTCCTTGATCCTGGACCATCCCTACCACTGAACCTCAGAGGCTCCAAATTAACACAGGCATGGCCAGAGAACATAAGGACAATGCATTGTCTGAGGGCACAGAACTGGGGACCTGACTGTGATCTCTGCAGATTCTTCAGGTTCAGTAGATGAACATAGGCATCAATTCAAAGAATGTTTCAAATAATTCCTACTCACATTTTATAAAATTTTGGTGATAAAATATTTTTCCAGGAGGATCATTGTTTAAATCTCTGTAAATTTTTGATGCTCTAAGGGTTGATGCAAGTGCTCCCAATGCAGCTAGTTGAACCCTAGCAAAGCTAACAGGCAAGCATGGCCATAATCCAATTTACTCCCTGCTCACAATTCAAAAATTAGAAGTCTGACATGGACTCCATTTGAGGCAAGCAGGGGAATTGTTCAAGGAGATTCTCACCCACCATCTGTCCTTAGTAGAGTTTCTGTGTCCATGCTGTTCATTTCTCCTCCATTACTTGTGTCTTTTGCATCCTTCCATAGTCCTTACATTATTTAGTTCCACATGTTTTTTCCTAATGAGATCTGTTTTCTTCCTCTGGGGCTGCCATAGGACAGTAGCATGGGTTGGGTGGCTAAAACAATAAACAATCATTTCCTCCTGCACCTGGAAGCTAGAAATCCAAGATCAAGGTGTTGGCATGGTAGGTTTCATTTCAGAGCTCTGCATCTTCTGCATGTGTCTTACACACATCTATCTTCTGTCTGTCAGCAGGGCCGCCACTGGCACAAAGGATGTGGGGACTGCATGACTTCCCTAGTGTTTCTCCCTAACCATCAAGGCTACCATCACTCATTTTTTATTTTTGCTGGATTCCTGAAATGTTTCTCATCATGGACTTCAAGTCTCAGTTCAGATTTTTCCTGTATACAGGGGACTCACATCTCTTCTTCTCTTCATTATGTTGCTATATTCCAGGATTGGACACCAAACTTGGAGAGGTTCTTTCTCTGATGCCCATCTGTCCACCATTTTTCTGAGAATTGCCTGGATCTAGGTTATGTGATACTGGGTTTAAGAATGCATGGTACTAAATTAGTCCCCTGGTTGGAATTAGCTTTGATCTTGATGAGGATGGTACCAATTAACAGAACTATAAAGAGATAGTGGGAAGGCAGGCTTACTGCTGGTGCTGCTGGTGCTGGTGCTGCTGATGCTGGTCCTGTTGCTGCTGGTGGTGCTGCTGATGCTTGCTGCTTGCTGCCTTCCTGCCTACGTTGCTGTGGCTTTCTCTTCTGCTGTGCTATCCTACCTTGGAGATAGTTGACTATAAACTGAAACCTCTATAAATTGTGAGCTGAAATAAACCTGTCCTCCATTGATGTAAATTTGAGTACTGAGTATTTTGTCCAGAAAGGAGAAAATTAACTAAACAGCTGAAGTCTAAATTTTAAATTATTCCCAAACACTAATGGTATTTCATTAATTGAACCCTATCAATAAGTAATGCAGGCATAGTTCTCAGCATTTTGTACAACTGACTTTTTGAATCCTTGAGTTGCTGTATCCCTGAGATATTCTTACATGGTAGTCAGTCCCGTTATTTCCTACTTTCAGATGAGGAATGAGGAAACAGAGGTACAGAGCAAAACTCTCCGAGTCACCTACATACAGCTGTGAAGTAGACAGAATTATTCAAACCAGGCGGGCCAGCCCCCAACCCTATTTCTGTCTCTGTCACATTTTTTTCTTTCTTTCTTCTTTTGGGGATGGTGCTTGAATCCAAGACTTCCTTCATACAAATCACGTGAGCTACAACTAATGTAGATGCCAGTCTCTCAAATTTGTTACTATTAACCATACAGTACTACTCAGCCTTTCAGTAGAGGCTAATTACTGGGAAAAATACCCAGGGAAAACATGGAAGTGACCAGAGTAATAAACCTTACTCCCACACCTCTATGAGATAATCATAGTTGAAGTGTCTATAAATTGTCAGTGCTATGTTGAGTACTATCTGTAAAAACTTATTTGAGCTTTTCAAAAGCATTGTAACTTCACTTATTCCTCAAAGCAACCTTATAAATTAGTATTGCAGCCACATTTCTATATGTTTGTGGATGCATGAGTACACACACACACACACATGCATGCACATTCACACAGATTCACACACATACATGCTTACCTTTGAGTGTATACACTCATACACTCACACAGGCTATTAAAAAACCTGTGCTCATTGGTCCTTTCAAATTATTTCTCAAAAATGCATATCAGACAGGAGTTTCATTTTCCCTGCACCCAGCCATCTTCCTTCTTTTTCTGCTTCTCTTTCTGGCTTTGTAACTTCTCACAAGCCCTTGCAGTATGCAAATCTCTCTCTCTCGATGAAATGAATTTCCCCTGAGAGCGGAACATCTGTGCATTGCTGCCTTGGAGTTCCTTTTTCCCTGCAGGACAGTGATGAGATAGAAGGATCAGAGTGAAAAACACAAAGGCTCCTGACTAAAGCATCCACAGTCATGCTATAGTTTGGATCTATAATGTGCTGGAAAGGCCCTTGTTAGTCGCTTTGTCCATAGTGACACTATGTGAATTGTGTGGGTCCTTTAAAAGAAGGGCCAAGTAAGACTTCTTAGATCATTTGTTGTGCCATGGGGCCAACAGGTTTTCTTGACCATGCACTCCCCAGCAAGATTTCCAGCCTCCTGTGGGCTAGAATTCAATGGAGACAAACAATACTAGACTGAAACCTCTAAAATTATGAGCCATAACAGTCCTATTCTCTCCATAAATTGACTTATCTCAAGTATGGATTATAGCAACCAAAATTTGCCTAGCACAATCTGTAATTGTATGAAGACCCATATCTCCATATCAATATCTATGTCCTACATAATGTTGATAGAAACCTCCATACTTTACAAAATCTACTGAGTAATAACTTTTGAATTTATTCAACATTTATCCTTAGTCAGACACTGTTGAAAATGTATATCAGCTCTTATCTCATGTGATCATTGTAATCAACACAAACACTCTTGTACCTTCACTATACAGATAAGGAAATAGAAGAACAAAGAGCTCCAAGGTCACTCAACGACAAGTGCTAGAATTATGGCTTGAGCTCAGGCAATCTGACCTCGAACTCATAGTTTAATCACTACTCTTCCCAGAGATCCAAGGCCTCAATTCTATCATATGAGTTTTCTGCAGAGTCTGTGTATGGTGTGGTGTAGGGGGAAGTAAGAGGAAGATATTTTGTGGTTTTCATTTCCCTGGCTCTTCTGCTTCTTCCTTATATGCAAATAGCTTTGGTATTTTCACCATACCAATAACATGGGAAACTCAGTTTCTGACTATTGTCACAAAAACCATAGACTGCACTGATCAAGGCAGAGTATTCCTGAACAATTCATGTACCATACATATATTTATTAACTACTGTGTAGCAGCACTGTTATAGGAATTTAGGGTATACTTGTAAACGAAAGACAAAGTCTTCTTGGGAAGTCTTGGCTACAAACTAGAGGAAATGACAGAAATCTATACATACAACAAACAGGTAAACAATGTATTTCATACTAGGATTCATTTTGAGAAAAAAATTACACCTCTTTGGGGATAGATATAGTGAAAAAAGAATTATTCAGGAATGCTACCAAGGAGTACAAACAGACTTAACACTGGTGGTCCCAAGAAATTGGATTCAGAATTTTCTCTAAATCAGATATCTAATTAACAAATAGAAAGTATGGTGAAATAAGAAATTAATTGATTCATGATTTGACTCCATGTTGAAGTCCATGTTGGAGTCAAACCACTGCCTTCCTGGACCCAGTGCAGCATTACAATTTACAGGAAGGATCATTAATGTAGAAATAAAAGCCAAAAATATACATGTATATAGTTAAGCAGGTGGTGGGACAGGGAACCCACAGGAATACAGGTATGTTGCAATTCTGGTTCAAGGAGTTCTATTAGAACAGGCAAGTGGAGAGGGATTTGTGTCCATTCTGGTATAAGATGATTAGAGTAAAAAATGATATAGATGAACAGGGTAAAAAAATAAATAATTCCTAAAAAAATATGTAAATTATTTATACATATATATTATTTATAAATAATTCCTTAATAAATATATAAAAATAAATAATTTAAATTCCTAAATTTAAAGAAGCTTTGCTGCTTCTTAGTTCATTCCTCATTCCTGAGGGATCTGGGATTTCATGTCATCTGCCTGTCTGTTCATTTCTGGGTTAGTGCACAGAAACTGAGGTGTACCAGTAAGAAGAGCCAGATTCTTGATCCTGAAAGTAGAAGTCAAAGTCAGAAGGTAAACTAAAGAAATCAGAAAGTCTCTCTCTCTCTCCCTCTCTCTCCCACTCTACCTCTGTATTACAGGCTTTGGATTGGGGAGATACTGTCTGTTGTTGCTTTGTTTACTACTCTACTCAAATGGAGAAGCATTGTGAAATGCATGAGCTCCACCAAGTAGAAAGACTTTAGCTTTCAGGTAATCTCACTGTAAGAATGAGTTAGAAACAAATAGAGCAACTCTCGACTTTGCTTACATGCTGGTATTGTTGACCCATTGAGTCTATTCTTTTATTTTATCAGGACTCATTTCCTGTCCATGAATAATTTATTAGAAGGCATCAAAAATTAATCAACATATGATTTTGGTTTGGATTTCCATTCTTGCCAGGATGGTTCTGTCTGAAATGTCAGCCTATGTTGAGTTAGGGATGTGAAAAGATCATTAGACATCAGTCTTAACATCCTTATAACTTGTTGTGAGCAACAAAGTGGTTTAGAAAGAGTTGCTCTTAGGTTACGTTTCCCTCAGGGTCTATTATTAGTTACAACATTTAAAACATAGAAATCATTGAATATTGCATTGCAAAGATGTAACAGAGCCAGTGCATACTAGTAAACAAGTTGGCAAGGAGACAGCAGCCGGCCTTGCCTAGGCTTGTAACCCAGCAGC